AGAGAAAAAAACATACCGTTTCAATCAGACTGTTGAGAATTATGGCAATTGATATGTAAAATGGAATAATCAAACTGAATAAAGTACGGTGTTGTTGGGCAGAAAAGTTCTGTAAAAGACATGGCATTTCTTCCAAAGTTTTGAGTGGTCAATCAGAATCTGTTGATGCAAACAAGTATACAAGAGAAATGGAACTGTTGAAAAATGAAATCGCAAGATATAATCCAGATGATGTTTGGAATGCCGATGAAACTGGTCTTTTTTATAAGTTGATGCCCACGAAAACATTATCAAATACAAGTCAAACACATGGAACCAAAACACCAAACAACAGGATTACTGTGTTACTTTGCTGCTCACTTTCTGGAGAAAAAAAGGATCCATTGTTTATTGGAAACTCTAAAAAACCTCGCTGGTTTGGAGAAATCGAATTTGAAAATATGAAAGTTCTTTATACGTCTCAAAACAAATCATGGATGACAACATTGATTTTTCATCAATGGTTGATTGACTGGGATGACAAGTTGGAACTAACAAGTAAACACATACTGCTTATAGTTGATAACTGCAGTTCACACAAACTCCAGTTGAAATCGGATGAACAAATATCAGGTGATAGATACACCTACGTTGAAAAGGATTCTAAAGGCAAAAACGTGTATCTACTTCAATTGAAAAACATTGTCGTACGTTTCTTGCCACCAAACACCACTAGTGTGTTCCAGCCACTAGATGCTGGTATAATACAGTGTTTGAAACAGCATTACAGATCTACTGTTGTTGATATGTTTTACAGTGCCTTGAAACGTTACAATGAAAGTAAAGACCCGGAACATCCAGTTGAGTTTGTAGAACCCAAGATTCGAGTGTGTGAAGCAATGAAAATGGTAGTTAGTTGTTGGAAAGAAAGTGTTACTGTAACTACTGTAAAAAACTGTTGGTTTCATTCAGTGTTTCAAGGAGAAAACAATTCAAATCAGAACTCTCAAGTTGAAAGTCAATTCGATTCTGAATATCTTCAATTGGAAAATGTACCACCAGCGATGACAGATCAAGAGATGTATGCACCAATAAAACGTGACACACAGAGAAAAGACAGAATGAGGTTAGCCAAAGACTTGTTTGATAGTGAAATTGACATCAAAAGGCAAATTGAAGAAAAAGAAATAAGAATCGATATGCTCAAAAAAGAGCAACAAGAAAAGCACAAAAAATTGGAAGAAATGTGTTCTGAGTGTTCAGAAATTGATGCGGTCTTTGGAAATACGTTATAAACGAGTTTATGTTAGTTTTTCATAGTTGCCAATTTATTTAAATTAATACCAGATTAATCCAGTAAAAGCTTTTTTGCCAAAATTTCCATTAGATAACATTTTATTTATTTATTTTTGTTTTATATAACCAAAAAGAGAGAAAAGAAAATAAAATTGTATGAACAATTTTAATACTACCATTTCGGGTGTTTTATAAATATAATCGTATTGGTTTGAATTTTGGTTGGATAAAAAACCAAATCTTATAGAATTCCAATCCCATAGAAGTCCAATCCGATAGAGTATTGACTGTATTATAAATTTTATCTTCATACAGCTTAATATTTTTATTTCAAAAACTTTAATGTTGATTTTCAAATTTAAATCACAAAAGAAAATATTATTCCAAATTTCAATATAAGGACAAATTGAATGATCAATTGATATTGTATCACATATCAAGTGCAGA